GAGTTGCAGGTGGGAGAATGTAATCATGGCAGCTCTAAAGAGGATCTTTATGAATTTGTCAATTTCTCCCAGGCAGAGTTTTCTGGGATTATTAACTTCTAAGAGAATTTGTTCTATTCTTCCAGAGGATGTATTTGGGGCAATTCTTCCATTCTGTTTTGACTTTCAGCAATGGATATTGAGGGTTGCTAATTGGAAGGTGCAATATAATAATTCGTTTATATCTCTCTGCTCTTCCTTTGTTTCTTGTATCACATCATGTCTAGAAATGCGTGGAAGCTGTGACTGAGTATCCCAAGGGGAGGAAAGATTCATTCAGTTCTTCTCAAGAGCTGCTCTTCAGGGAGAATTTCCAGGAAGATCAAAGTCAAGATGCTACGCAAGGTAAGAAAAGCTCTTTCTGCATGAAGTGAGATTTCAGCTGGTCCTTTCTCTCTACTTTATTGGATTGTCTCTCTTTAACAAATCTGCTTCCACTATTTTTCTCTTTCTCATAGAGAGTAGAAAGCTGTCCTTGGTCTGTTTAGAATCACCTCTTTGTGCTGGAGCTGAAGTATTAGCTGAACCGCTACTTCAGGTAAGGAGGACAAACATCGGAAAAGGTCCATAAATCTTCAATGGATTTTATTTTGTTCTAAAGTTCAATGTATAAAATTGCTTTTTCTAAGCAATATGAATTTGACATCAGGTCATTGAACATTCACACTCAGCTTTGCCTCCCCTCTTCCTTCTAAGGCAAGGGTGTCAAACTCATTCAGGGCCGACTCACGGCCGTGATTGACCTCATGGGGGTCCAGGCGGGCATGGCTAACTGAGAGGGCATGGCTAGTTTGACACCACTCACCATACTGCTGCTTCCTTTTCACATTGGGTAGAACAGGCCTAAGCCAGGCTGGCCTGGTTTTTCCTCTTCACATTGGGTAGACCAGGACGGCTCCACGGGCAGGATCCAACCACTTCACAGGCCTTGAGTGTGATACCCCTGTTCTAAGAGGATCCTTTGTGAGATGCCTTCTCTACCCATCCTGCTTCACCATGAGATTTCATTGACCAGACTGTTGTCAGCATCAGGGCGCCTCCTTCTGTCTCCCAGGGTTAGTCTCACACACTATTACAAAAAACATATCCTTTTTGGTCTTTTAAATCTTTGGGACAACCGTGACTTGATGATTGAGAATCTCTATAGACATATAGAGTTCTGTTACAAGTTCTTCCAATTCCTTCATGAAGGTTTGGAGTCTGGGTACGTTTCTCCTTCAGTGGATAAAGTAAGCCATTGGAAAACAAGTAGGTTTTTCCAGTATTTTGCTCTGCCCATCCTAGGAAGAATGGGAGTCACTGACAGGTAATGGATTTAAGACCTAACTATCAATTGACCAAGAATATTTTAATTAATTTACAGTGTAAGGCATTCCAAACACTTCCAGCTTGATCAAACGTGATTTGGTTGTACCATTAACCAAAAGTGATGTGATCTTATTCTTAATTCTGCAGAAGATTCTCATTTTTTTTTTCAATGGATCTCTTTCCTAGAATTGTTGGAGGAAAATTATCCGATTTTTCTTGGGATTATCTGTTAATCAGGAACCTTGTGTCCTTTTTCAGGATATTGCTTCTTTTGAGGAAGTGGCTGTTTATTTCTCCGAGGAGGAGTGGTCTCAACTGGATGCTGACCAAAAAGAGCTCTACAGAGAAGTCATGGTGGAGAATTCCAGGAATCTCTTTTCTCTGGGTAAGAAACCCTTTCTATGATCAAGAATGTAGAGTAGGGCCTTGAATGTTATTTCTGATTTTTTTAATCATTTATTTACAGTGCATTCAGAAAGTATTCAGACCCCCTTCACTTTTTCAATTTTGCTATGCTGCTGCATGATTCTACAGTTGTTGAAATGAGTATTTTGTATTTTATGAACTGAAAATATAAAAAAACCAATTTATTTAGTAAGAGAGGCTATGCAGATTTCCAATTTTTCTTTGAATAAACTTCCTTCTTTTATAAAGTCAGTTTGGTCAAATGGTCAAGATACCAGGCTAGAAAACGGGTGGCTGTGAATAGTAGTTCTGCCTTAGGGATGAATGCTGGCTGGGTGACTTTGGGCCAAAACTCTTTCAGCTCAACCCATTTCACACAGTTGTTGTAGGGAAAATAGCAGGAGGAAGGAATAATGGGTTTGTCTGCTGCCTTGTTTATTTGCATAAAGCAAAGGAAGGATATACAGTGCATTCAGAAGGTATTCAGTCTCCTTTCATTTTGTCAATTTTGTTATGCCGCAGCCTGATTCTACGGTTGTTGAAATTCATTTTTTTCTCATTAGTCTACGCTTGTTGCCCAATAATGACAAAGTGAAAACAAAATTTTAGAAATGTGTGTAAATTTATTACTTTCTAGCCTGGGGTCTTAACCTTTTGACCAAATTGACTTTATGGAAGAAGGAAATGTATTGAAAGAAAAATTGGAAAACTGCATAGCCTGGCTTTTTGCATAAAGGAAATTGTTTGGTTTTTTTAAAATAACTTTCTGCTCGTGAAATGCAAAATACTCATTTCATACAGAAGATATTAGGAAGCCTCTGAGGAAGAGGCTGAATTTACTGGGGAAGGTTCCGGCTACCAGGTTTGTTCTATTCCCTCCTGAACCTGGTCACTGGGTTCCTGATGGCCCTGAGCTGCTATAAGCAAGACTGGATGACCTCAGAGAGGGTTGTTCCCTTCTTGGAGATATGCCCACTTGTGTACTGACTTTGGCATTAGCCTAAGTTGAGGGTGGGGAGCTATTTTCATCCAGAAATTCCTTTTGGCTTTCAAAGATTCGGCTCTGCAGACAAGTGGAGCTGAGACTTTGATTGAAGTTAGGAAGTGCTGAGTATGTTGCTGCCCTAGCATGATACATTGTCCAGTACATTTTGGGAGTTTGTAGCACCATGGAATTGTCCTAGGAGAAAGATTAGGTAAGGGCTGTGATCTAATCCTTTTGTATGGGGATCATTAGGGATACACTTGGAAAAGGGTCTTTGTTATAATCTTTGTTTGGACTCTACATGTTTGCCCACCAAAGAGATGAAATATATTGATTATTCTTTGGCTAAATTTCAGAAGGAATTTATTGTTCCCCTGTTCTTGCTACAGTTCTCATTTTTCTTTTTCAAGGCTTTAATGGGCAAGAGAATAAGAATTGCAAGGAGGAACACCAAGCTATCCATTCGAAATGGGGGGAAAGGAAATTCGTAGATCAGATGCAACCAAAGAGTGATGAAACAAAGCAATCACAAAGTGGAATTAAAAAAAGTATTCCTCATGTCAGTTGGCTTCCTAACCATACAATGATTGATACGGGAGAAAGACCATATAAATACCTGGAGTTTGGAAAGAGGTTTAATAAATCTGATCATCTCATTTCTCATAAAAAAGCACATTCAGAAAATAAACGATTTACCTGCATGGAGTGTGGAAAGACCTTCTCTTACAGTTACCTTGTAAGACATCAGAGGATCCACACAGGAGAACGACCGTATAAATGTATGGAGTGTGGAAAGACATTTACTTATAGTAGTCATCTTAATAACCACAGGAGAATCCACACAGGAGAACGACCATATAAATGCTTGGAATGTGGAAAGACCTTTACTCGTAGCAGTCATCTAGGTTGCCACAAGAGGATCCACACAGGAGAGAAGCCATATCAATGCACGGAGTGTGATGAGACCTTCTGTTATTATAAAACTTTTATAATCCATCAAAGGAATCATAGAGGAGAAAGTCCTTATATATGCATGAAATGTGGAAAAACCTTTACTTGTAGCAGTAGTCTTAAATCACACAACTTGATCCACACAGGAGAGAAGCCTTATCAATGCATGGAGTGTGGAAAGAGTTTTAGGAAGAGTGGTAATCTTAATACCCACAAGAGGATCCACACAGGAGAGAAACCGTATCAATGCATGGAGTGTGATGAGACCTTCTGTTATTATAAGACACTTTTAACCCATCAGAGGAATCACATAAGAGAAAGAACTTAAAAATGCATGTAGTGTTGAAAGACGTTTACTTGTAGCTGTCATCTTTAACTCCCACAAGAGGTTCCACGCAGGACAGAATCCATATTGAAGCATGGAGCGTTGAAATGGTTTTAGGAAGGATAGTCATCTTACCTCCCATAATAGGATTCATACAGGAGAGAACTCGTATCAATCCACGGTGTGTGGAAAGATCTTTACTTGTACTAATGGTCTTAATTCCCACAAGAGGAGCTAGACGGAAGAGAAGTCGTATAAATGTGTGGGATGTGCAGAGGGCCTTAGAAAGGGTTGGGATCTCATTTCCCATAAAAGAATCCATACGGGTGAGAAACCATATGAAACCATATGCATGTAGTGAGGAAAGAGCTTTGCAGGGAGTAATGCTCTTACTCGCCATAGAAGGAACCCCAGGTGGGAGAAACCATGTCAAGAAGTATGGGTAGAGTTCCATGAGAAATCTAGGTAGTCCTCAAGTTTATGACTGCAATTGAGCCCAACATTTCTCTTGCTAAGTGAGAGAATTATTATTATTATTGTGTGTTTTCCCCATATTACAAGTTTTCTTGCCACATTTCTTAACCGAGTCACTGTAATTGTTAGTGACACTGTCCTGAGGTGAATCTGGCTTCCCCATTGGCCTGGCTTCTCAGAAGGTGATCACATGACCCAAGGACACTGCAGCTGACATGAATCCGTTGCCAAGCATCTGAAGTTTAATCAGGTGACCATCGGGATGTTCATAGGTGTGAAAAATGGTCATGTTTTTCAGTGCTTGTATAACCTTGAATAATCACTATATGAATTTAATAAATTGAGGATTACCTATAGTTGTCTAAAATATCATACAAGTTCCATTTCAGTAATAATCCAAATAAATTGTAGACCTTCTTACATATGTATGCATAAATTCCCTTTCTTCTGCAAACCCGAACAGTCTGGATCCCTAATCCTGCTTGTGTTTTTTCCCAAGTCCAAATACAGAAAGGCTTTTTCTACATGTAGAAATGTTCTTAATTGTTTAATAAAAATATTCTTATTGTTCTTTTTTATTCTTTCAAATATCCCAAAATACCAAATACAATTATCACATTCCCATCTAACAGTGAGGATGCTTTCCTTACAAAGCCGCGTCTCCTCGTATGGAAAGGGAGTGGGTGTCCTCTGACTCACATACTTTGCCCTCCCACACCCAGTATGAGCAACCTGGCCAAGAATAGCGCGCACAGCAGCAGCAACCTCGAGGAGGAGATAAGCGCGGCTAACCCCCCCCCTTGGGAAAGCTGGTCTGATCTGGGTGCTTGCCCTCCATTTCCCAGGGCTCCGGGCAGTCCACGCCACCATCTTGACCCCTCCGTGTGCCTCAGAGGGATGGCGAGGTCTGTGGTGGACGAGGCTTTGGTGCTTGTCCTGGTCTGATCTTCCTCTGCTGGAGACCTCTGGATCCCCCTGCCCAGCCTTGCCTATCCCCCTCTCAGAAGATGGAGGATGCTGCTGCTGCTGCATGTAGAAGCACGGAGGAGAAAGTTTGTAGGAAGCAGTTTCCTCCAAGTCCATCTTTTGCCTTGACAGATCTCTGGAGAGGAAGAAGGGTGGCAGGGGAGCTGCGAGAGGGAAGTCTGCCCTTACAAGCCAGCATCTTTACTATATACGACTGGAAACAAGGATTTCATTTGAAGAAGGGCCAGCATCCCTCGTGCAGGACTGAGGAGGGCTGGTCCCCTGCCACCACCTCTTGCTCTCCGGAGATCTGTCAAGGCAGAAGTTGGAGCGTTCTGCAAACTTTCTCCTCCACCCTTTCACACTCAGCAGAGTCATCCTCTCCCTCTTGCTTTGCTGAGATGGGTACCGGACAGGGAAACAAACCCCAATGATGTCTGATATTGGTAGAAGAACATCTCCTTCAGCATGCTGTGCATGCACACACACGCGTACAGACACACACCCCAATCCAAGTTTGGAGACTTTTATCCACATCTAGCTTGCAAACTGCCAATGCCTGGGCTTGAGAAGAAGGCAACGAATGTTCCCCAACTGGAGTTAGCCAGTTCAACTTACTCCATCCTGACCCAGCTATCCGAAATCAGCTGTGCCCAGTGAGTAGTATCTGACTATTCCTACCCAGCCAGTGTGAGTTGTCATAGTCTTAACATGCCCTTTGAGGGCAACCATAATGCAGAGGCTTCTTTGCAGCCTCCCTGGAGGGTAAAAACAGCCTCCCCCAGTCTCCTTAGGCCCTCCAGAGGCTGAAAATGGGAAATTCTGGTATTTCCAGAAGGCTCTTTTTTCGGCCTCCCGAGGCTGCAGAGGGTTCCCTTGAGCCTCTGCGAGTCCGAAAAAGGCCTCAAACAGGCTGAAAATCAGCTGGGAGGCGCACACATGCGCAGTGCAGGTATGTTTGGCTGGGGCTTGCGTGCCGCACAAACCGCTCTGCATACCATGTGTGGTATGTGTGCCATTGGTTTGCCATCATGGTCCCAGATGATAGGCTCAAGATCCAGGTGGATCATGACGGACTTGAACACTGGGCTCTATCTAACAAAATGTAATTCAGTGAAGAGAAGAGAAAAGTCTTACACTTAGGCAAGAAAAACCAGAAGTACACATATCGACTGGGTAAAACCAGGCTCAATAGCAGTAACTGTGAGAGGGATCTTGGAGTCTTAGTGGACAACCAGCTAAATATGAGCCAGCAGTGTGCAGCAGCAGCCAAAAAAGCTAATGCAATCCTAAATTGCATTAACAGAGGGATCAAGTGAGGTACTAATACTATTCTATAAAGCCTTAGTAAGACCACACCTAGAGTACTGCATCCAGTTTTGGTCACCACACTATAAAAAATTGTTGAGACTCTAGAAAGAGTGTAGAGAAGGACTAGGAGAGACATGATAGCAGTGTTCCAGTATTTGAGGAGCTGCCACAGAGAGGAAGGTCAAGCTATTTTCCAAAGCACCTGAAGGTCAGACAAGGAATGATGGATGGAAACTGAACCTGGAAATAAGGAGAAATTTTTCTGACAGTGAGACCAATCAACTGATAGAACAGAAGTTGCCATTGGGAGTTGTGGGAGTTTCATCACTTGAGACTTTCAGGAAAAGATTGGACTGCCATCTGTCCGTAATGGTGTAGAGTCTCCTGTTGGGGGTGGTGGTGGACTAGATGACCTATAAGCTCCCTTCTCATGATGTTCTGAGCCCCTGCAGGGTGCTGAGGCGTTGCCCACAGGATCCTCTAGGGGGCTCCCTTGAAGAGCAGGACAGCTCCCTCCCACTTCCGCCCCCCCTTTTAAAAGCGAACTGAGCATGCGCTGTCCATTTTCCGAAGTCAGGAGAGATGTGTTCCTCCAGCATCTCCGCTTTTTCTACAGTGC